AATGCTGAGTCATGGACATACTGTTTTCCTTACAAAAATTATTCGTTACTAATGTACAATTAAAAATCACTAGAATGTAAATGTTCTTAAATTAGATTCCATTAAGGATTCAAATGTTTCTTTATTTTGTTGATTATATTAAAAGCATATTAAAATGATTTGTTTCCTAGTGTTGTGATGTTTACAGTGTGTGTAACGCAACCGTAAAAAAGTCAGTGTGTGCATGCGTCATTGCCTCTAACAACAGTTATGTACATTTGTCGTGTATAACACAACCGTAAAAAAGTCAGTGTGTGCATGCAACAGTCATTGCCTCTAACAACAGTTATGTACATTTGTTTTCCCTTAGCATACTAAAACTATTTGTTTCCTAGTGTTACGATGTTTGCAATGTGTGTAATGCGACTGTCAAAAAGTCAGTGTGTGCATGCAACAGACATTGTTTCTAACAACACTGTTATGTACACATTTATTTTCCCTTACAAATAAAGGCACTCAGAGAGTAGTTTTAATGAGAATGTTTGCAGTGTAGACTATTGCATTTTTTCAGAATATATTGTAAGTAAGTGGATTGTGCAGTCTTTAAAATCAGGGCTTATCTAGGCAGGCCAAACAAAAGGTGTGGTTTGCTTTTCAAGATGATGTTCTCTACCCCTGCACTTCCTTCACCGTAGCCTGTGGACTTCTGGCAGTCTACAGGGTCAAGATAAGTGCTGTGCTGGTGATCTACAGAGCTATATTGATGATAAAGGAGTCGGCAGTCCTCAATAAGCCTTAAGATTAATAGTGTTTCATTGGCTGGGAAAAAAAAGAAAGAGAATCTCTATTCCCTTAACAGAAGCAAATTGAACAAGTTGCATGTTTTGAAGAAATATCTTGACTTTAATTCAACTGAAATACGATGGCATCTCTTTTTTTTTTAGCTATTAAGAACACAGATGCAATATGGTTCTCATTCAGAAGAAGACTTAATTGCATTATTTACATTCTTCCAGAATTAGGATTCACTTGAAAACTCAACTGGATTTCATGTAGACTTAAAGAAACTCTACTCAAAAGAACAAAAAATGTTAGCCTCGCAATTTTCCTAGATTCTTTCTGAGTTTGTTTTCACACCAGGGTTGTGGTAAAATATGATATTGAGGTTGTAATTATGTTGAAAGTAACTAATCATGCAGTATAGAAGCAGATTATTGTTTTTAACATTGTATAGGCTGGTAATGGTTTGAACTGACCTCAGCGTTACTACTCCTGCTTCTGCAAGCTTGGATGAGCAGCTGAACTTCAGAAGATAGCTGAGAAAACAGGTGGCCTCAGAGGTGGAAACCAGCCTAAGAAGTCCTTTTCCTCTTCTTACCCACTTGTTTTTACTCTACAGTTTGCTGTGTCTCCAGCTGAACTGGTGCAATTATCTGTGAACTGAAGATCCAGTTATAGATGACCCCTGGCCAGAACTAATGCGTGACCTTCTGCCACAAAACGCTCATTATATTATATTGTATTGTGTTGTAGTAAATTGGATTATTTGTTTATGTTTTTCCCACGACTGCCTTACACCACATGTGCGACAGCTTCCACTCAAGTAGGCAGTGGGATGAGCAGGCCATGGCTGAAGGACAGGGCAGGGAAGCAGGGCTGCCTCCTTCAGCCACACCACGGCCTGAAGTGGCCCAGACTGAAAGCGCCCCATGTTTGATGTTCTGTTGGTTTGGATTTTGTTTATTTTTGTTTCTTTTCTGTTTTGGCTTTTTTTTTCCTTCTGAAATGTTTTTAAACAGGATCAGTTTTGTCAGTGGTAACTAACGACCGATGGGGCAAATGGCTGGGACCCGCCACCACCTCACCGCCTGCCCGCCTCACGCTGCCACCATTAGAAACGGTGCAGGAGGGGTGGCCCTGGCCCAACAGCCGCGGCCACCCTGCCACCATCGGGTCAGACTAGTGGCCCCCGTGAGGTGAGGCAGGGACCTGGGGAGAGCCATGCAGGTGGGTGCAGACGGTCACCCCAGCCCCGAGCTGTCCTGCTGGGCCAGCAGCTGAGACCCAGGGTGATGAGGGAGTTGGGGCGCGGACGCCAAGGAAATGGGGGAGGCGGTGGGTGGGCAGTGACTGGGGCCGAGAGAGGTGCTGGGTGCTGCAAGAGCTGTTGTGCTGCCTGAGGCAACCAAGGACAAGGTGGTGGGGAGGGCAGCAATGCCAGCCACTGGGGAGGGCTCCCTCGGTGCAGCCAAAATTGCTGCAGGGCCCAGCAGGGCAGAGAGTGCAGGTGTTGCTGCCCCAGGCCTGTGCAGCCTTTCCAGCCCCTGTGGGGGTCCTGGGAAATGGGAGATGGGAGAGCAGTTTATGTGGGCTTTCTTGTGTGAATACCTCAGGAAACAAGTTTCTAATGGTTAAGAATTAACCATCATTACTGTCCTGTAAGAATAATGAAATACAACACTTTGATAGCTGGATGATCATAGGTGTAGCATATTTTAAAAACAAAATTGAGAATTTGTTTCCTGCCATTCACCCAAAAACCCCAGAACTTCAAATTAAATTTACCAGAAGTGTTAGTTACACTTAAAGTTTGAAGTTATGCAGCCTGTGGGTTCCCAGACTTGACCTATGTATTACCCCTGGCAAAGCTGGTGGTAATTAACATTTTCATTGGCAGCACTGAGAAGGGTCATGAGAGGTTTTTTCACCTGGGATTGTGGCCTGCTAGTAGAGCAATACTAGCTTCATACTCCAAAACCACTTTATATTGGGTCACTTTTGCCGTTTTTTGGCTCCTTTGCACTCTTGCCATCAGATATCTTCATTTTCATTTATTTCATCTGTGCATATTACTGCAACCTTTAACAAATCACTTAACACCAACTTTTTAAACAGTATTTAACACAATTTCTTAGAAAATTGTTAAAGGTTTGCTAGCTTCAGATGTCTTCCCTGAGACTGGAGTTCAGATTTATCAGAGAGAGAGACCTGGTTCTTTTATCCTTTCCTTACTGTGACCTAGGATTCTTGATCCAATTTTTTTTTTTTTTTTGCTTTTATATTTTGTAGTGTAACAGCACCTACAAGATGTCCAGCATACAACTGGTTACACAAACCTATTGAATGTTACAAACACTAAAAAGAAACAGTATAAAATACACCATGGAAAGACATTATGTAGGACCTAAATTTACAGAAAACCACAAAATGTCAAAATCTTTCCTGGCAAAAACTGGCCAGAGCCTATCTTCTAAGTTACCTACATTCCAATTCTGTTTCAGTAGTCCTTTTTGTGGTGTGATTTTGAAATTATTTGTTCAGTTATGATGATTATTTTTATTATGTTTTTTAATGCCTCATGATTCTTGTAATCCTTCTGCTATGGAGAAGGATTTGCATTCTGTGAAGTCGGGAAAACTGATCCTGACTTAAGTCAGGAAATCATACGCTAAAGCACTTGTGTGGAGGCCAAAAGACATGCGCATCACTCATGTTTCTTCAGTGGTTCCCTTGGAGGAGTTGCCCTCTTAGTTCTGTGGATTGTTTTTTTTGATACCCTGACTGTACCAAAGTCAAAATTCTTCTTTGGTGAAGGGTTAAAAACGTGCAGTAAGACTGACTGTGAGAATTTTTTATGCATGTAAACGCTGGAGAATTACACTACGGCAAAATCTTCATTTGGGTTTTTCCTATTCCAGACCCATTAGTGACCATCTAATTCATTAGATTATATATGACATTTCTCTTTTATTTTTTCCAATGGATTATACCAATTACTTTTTCATCAAAAAAGGAGAAAACATCACTTATTCTTAATTCTTTATCTACATTTTCATATGTGGATAAAATTAAAGAAAGTTTGCCAGTATATCTGAAGGACTTGGTGATGAAATAACCATGTCCTCAGAGGTAGAGTGCAACAGAAAATAATTTTCCAAATATTATAACTAACTATTTACAATGGAGTTGTCATTTCTAGTCCAAAATCTGGATATTGGAGCTTTGCAGAAGAAATCAGTTAAAGTATTCAGGTATGAAATCTCTGCTTTACCTTAGGAATAAGGCACTAGATGTTTGCAAAGCCAGAGTGCTCCACTAGTAGCGAATATTGGTAGCCACATCCTTGCCTGCAGTTTGCTAAGCCCACGCGTTAGGACTGTCGTAGGAACTGCCATAACTATTGCTGCTTCCTTTCCACTCCAAACCCTGCAAAGTCTTGCTTCCTCACTCATGCCAGAAGAAACTGGCAGAGGTAAGAGCCTTCTTGCAAACCCACTGTACTTTCTTGTGAGCAATAGCGTGATTCCATTTACTCTCTTTGTGGCTTTCCCAAGTATTTTTTGGGAATAAATGCAAAGCATTTCCTTTACCTCTGTGAAATTCGTTCAGGCATGTGTAACTTTGAATTAGAATTTGTTTCATTACACTCTTGCTAAATTCTGTACAAGAGATTTGTTGAATAAAGATGAGTCAGCTGTTGGCTGAAAAGGCAAATGTAGTACACATGGGCATGGCAGTAATCCAATGGCAGTCCTGGGTGTTTCCTCAGGTAGAATTTTTGTAATGTACTTTTTGTTCACTTGATGTTGCATTATTATGGAATTATTAATACCATTGAACACTTCTGATATATAAATATCTATACAGAGATTTCTTTATGAAGGTTTTCAACCAAGTCATTATTTTAGAGCCAAAAATACCACACTTTTTGATTAACAACCTGGCTTAAAACTGCTTCTTTAGTACTTCTAATCCATACGAGAGGCCTCCTAATGTGCTGCTGTTCTACCATGCCAGTACCAGTCCAGTTACAGTAAACAGATTCTAATGTGATAATTTCAGTAGAAATGCAGCCTTATAAATAGCGTGCAGTTCCTTTATCTTAACCATTTAATTAAAATTACCACAAATATAGACTTAACACCTGCAGAAGTCCTGCATTATAAACATGATGTATGAAGTAGCTCATGTTGACATATTAATCATTCATTTAAAATAAAAAGGGTTTTTTCTTCTGATTCTAGGCATGCTTCTACATCTTTATTCACAGTGTCAACACCTTATACTTAGTAGTAACAGAAAAATACTGATACAAAAATCTTGCCCGTGTGTTTCTTTAAGTGTGTTTAAGTCAGCGGTTATAGGTTTGGGTTTCTGAAGTAGGTGTCCATATACATTTTAGACAATTTTTGGCTGGTATTTTGGAGACTGATTATTTTATCCATGCTTACATTTTGAGTTTTCTTTCTCTCATATTTTCTTGCAGTTTTCTGTTCAGAAGTGAAAAACGAAAAATGAAAATTCCTGCTAGAGAATGGTCCATGAAGGTATAGCCTCTAAGTAATGCTTTCCTTTTGTTACATCCTTAACAGATGCCAAAATGAAAAAGGGCTGGTTTTGGTTTAAAAAAGGCCACACACGACTAGTTTGTTGATTTAGTTCTGTTTCATAATATGAAAACAGGATCCAAATGAAGACGCTGAATGGAATGATATACTGAGAGATTTTAGAATTCTTCCACCAAAAGACAAAATTGAAGAAATGGTTTTACACTTGCAGAAAGAAGCACAAGGCAAGTAAAATGAAAAATACATGTTAGTATAACAAAATTTGAAAAGCTGAAGTATTTTCAATAATGCTTTTTGTAACTTAAACATTGTACAATAATTATACTTTTATTTTAATTATTTTCACTTGGTTATTTTAAAAAGGATTCTGAATTAAACATATAACACGCTTAGCGACAATCATTATGGCATATAACCTGTACAGATAACTCGTTTTCATGATTTCATAAAGGAATCAGTCAGTAAAAGCAGGATTCACATTCTGAAAAATTGGTAGTAATCCACTCCTGTGTTTATGTATTTTTCTGTATACTTATATTTAAATAATTTTTTTTCTCTCTTACCCAGAGCTATACAAAAGTTGACTAATTTCTGAAATTAGTACATCATTTTCTTTCATTAGTTCCATGTCTGTGTAATACTTTTCATACATTTAAAATGTTCGAAGACACTTTGGAGAACAAAAGATGGCTAATTATTTTTTGTTGTTGTTTCTAGGGGAACCATATGAATGAATGAATCTTGCACAATTAAAGGAAGCTGAAAATGACTTTGACGAGGCTGATTGATAGGAAAGCTATTGAAACATACAGGTATAGTAAGATATTTCTATCCAGGTTAACAGTGCACATGTCACAACTGTCCATGTGCACGCTCCTGAAACATAAACTCTGAATCTTTTGAACAGCAACGTCTGCTGACTGACACAACTGCCACCTTTCACTTTCCACTCCTTTGCCAGCAGGTAGCTGGCACTCACATTACTGTCCTACATCTTCCTGATTGTCAGTGGCAAAGAGAGGCAGTTTACACTATATTTTACTTTGATGTTTTCTTAGAACAAAATTATTCCCCTTTTAAAATACTTGATTTAGTCTCAAATCTGAGTATTTAAAAGAAAAAGAACAGAAGGGGCCACAGTGGGAACCACTGTTACACAACCTCAGTTCAGCTGAAGACAGATTGGGCTACTGTGTGTTTAGAGGCGTTGCATGTTTGAAGTGTTGCATACGTGTAGGGCTTGGCGACCGGAAGATCTCGCGATGTACGGAAAGGATAGGGACTGACCGCCCCGTGATAGAGCTTATGATGTAACTGCAAAGGCGGGAAGGAAGTAGTTTGCATATAAAAGCAGTGAAAGAGAGTTAATAAACGCCATTTGTGATATCCTCATATTGGGGTCTGTGTCTCAGTGGCCCGGGGGCGGGGGATGTGTGGCTCTCGTGCTGTCTCACCTCGAACGGGAGTTGTTGCCGCAGACAGGTAAAGAAAGCCGGCTGCAACACATACGTGACATTTATCTGTCACGCAAGTAGGGTTCATTCCCTGTTTGCCTTATTAAACTCTACCTCTCACTCTGTCTCTCTGAAGATACTTTCTGCCAGTCTGTAGGAGTTAGAGCAATGCTGATAAATATTCAAAGAAAGGAGAAGTTCTGTGTCGCATTTTCTCTTATCAGTTCTGGACAGCAGGTTCTGTGGATTTCAAGCCAGGAGGAAATGGACAGTTGGCCACAGGTTTTCTACCATGCTGCACAAGAAAATTAGGAAAAACAGGGTCCCAGCATACATGGCCCCAACTTGGTTAAGACAGTGAGTGTGTGCATATGAAGCGTGTGCCACCTATATCGGGATGGCATGTCACTAAAGAAGAAAACTGTATTTCAGTGCTGGAATCAAACTGTTTATTATTTTTAAATGATAATTAAATAATTAATCTGAGTATATGAGTGAAATGCACCTCTGCCTTTTGGATAGCACTCGTTTCTGGTACGGTATGCTTTCTAAATACATTATTGAAATAAAAATGCAATGTAAAACTTACTATGAATTACAGTTTCACTATATCATATGCTGCAGTTTTTATGCCGGGATGGTGGTAGTTGATAAACTTGTGTAGTTTTGAAAGGTGTTTATCAAGTCAGCTGTGGACCCCTAATACACAACTATGGTGGTTATCTTATCCAAGATTAATTTTTATGTCTTTTCTATTTCTTACTTCATGAAAATATTTGTCTGAAGCTTACATAGAAGGAAGGCTCAAGGGAGATCTAATCAATGTCTATAAATATCTGAAGGAAGGGTGTAACGCAGACAGAGCCAAGGTGTTTCCAGTGGTGCCCAGTGACAGGACCAGAGGCAGTGGGCACAAACTGAAACATGGGAACCTCTGAACATCAGGAAATGCTTTTTGCCTGTGAGGGAGACCGAGCACTGGCACAGGCTGCCCAGGGGGGTTGTGGCGACTCCATCCTTGGAGAGGTTCAGAAGCTGTCTGGATGCATTCCTGGCTGGCCCTGCTTGAGCAAGGGGGTTGAATCAGATGACCACCCGAGGTCCCTTCCAACCTCAGCCATGCTGCAATTGTGTAATTCTGTGATGTACCATTTACCGTTCTTAGCGTAACTGTGGCACAACCGTATTCAACTATTTAATAGGAGTACACCAATTATTTTAATTACAATACCATGCAGAGTCAATATGTTTTATGAATTCAGGTTCAGAAAACTTTGGCAGCTTGTATGGAGACTTCTTAGAAATTTTAGCTATACTGGACATTCACACGTATATTTTTGCAGGAATTTTACAAGTACTCTGCTGAGTTCTGCAGAGCTTTGTACTGTAACTAAGAAAACCGAGACATGCAGTTTACACAGAATAAAAATGCTAATATTATCAAAACATTTACACTGTCTGGATTCTATTTGTACTTACTGCGCTTGCATTGTTAAAATTACTAAAATAATTCTAGTGCTAACACTGTTTATCTAGTGCTGTATTCTCAAAGGAAGATAATAATTCACATAATTATGTGGAGGTTGTGAACCTAAATTATCATGCGTAGCTGCTAGAGTATAATAACATTGCATATATATTATTTAATCTTTTTTTAGAAAGCCACTTCTACAGTGGCTTTCAGTTAGTAAAATTAATAGCTGCTTTTAGTTCAACAAATCTCAGTAAGGCATTTTCCTTTTCTACCTTACAAGTATTTTTATAGATTAAGACTGCCATCTACTGTTTTTACATTCCAGTATTCATGAATTATTTTAAAATTGTCTCATAAATACTAGTACTGGTGGTTTTTCCTCAAACCAATCTAATTTTCAGAATCAGAAAAACAATTAATGCCTGCTTTAATTTTTTCTTGCTTTGTCTCAAATGATAAGCCCTTGTGGAACATGTTCGTTACTCAAGATTCCCAAATCTGATATTGAGGAACATAAAAGTAAGGAAATTAATTTTAATGTTATCTTATTGATTAAAGATTAGCATAGAAGCCTTTCTAGCTCTGAAATTACATTAGAAGCCCTTGAGCTAAAGGGTTACTCAACACATCTTTTAAAGTGATTGAGAGAAAAGCACCAGATATTATTTTAAAATGCATTTTACATGTTCCAAATGCTTATTTTTATTATTACTTTTTAACTAGGCAGCAACACTTGCAAGAACGGAAATGTCTTCAGAGGATGCAAAAGTATGGGGAACTAAGAGAAATTTGTGGAGAACAGTATGTAAAGGAAGTTACAAATGCTCCAGAGGATGTTTGGGTTATAATTCATCTTTATCGGTCAAGGTAATTACTTTCTTCTTTAAGATGTTGAATACTTCAATACAGAGAACGGAACTGGTAATTAAGAAGCAATACCAAGAAAAATGAAATACGATAGACTAATGAAACAGCAATTGTTTGGAGGGAACGGAATCACCGAGCATGGGACCTCCTTGATTTGTTAATTCACTTTGTGAGAATTAATCACTTCACTTTTGTTCAATTATGTGAAAGATTTCTTCCGCCATGTATGCTTATCACCATGTACTGAACCTCACTGAGATGTCTGAATTTCACTGAGAAAGCGGCATCCACCATCTGTGCTACGGGAAGTTCATTTGCAGCCACTTTTCTCAGCAGGAGTGCTCAAACAGGATTACTCTACCTTTATTTCCCCTTTGACTTTAACAAATCAAAAGCCCAATAGGAAAAGTCTCAGTTACGAAAGTTGAGGAAAGATAGGGAATTTGGTAGTTTTTCAGTTCCCTACTAAATTCTCTAATGGTGGCAGAAGTTGTGACAGGATCCAGCAGAAATGCCAAAGGACTCCCATGATTAGTTCACCATATGTCAGCATCTCTAACAGATGTTTTTCAAAAGTACTGAGAATTAGTATGGAATATTTAGTGCATTTTTTAGATTCAGACCAGCTTTCTCTTTTCCTTCTTTTTAAGCCTGTTAGGAGGAGGAAGCTTCTTTGATTCTTCTCACTTGTCAGGAATTGAGTATTATTTCCAGGAACAATAGGAATGGATCAATCAAATTACATATTATGGTCTAGAGACTGGCAGGTCAGGGTGCTGGGCCATCTTGTCTACACGGTGCTTTTCCCAAGAAAGGTTGGACCAGATGATCCTTGAGGTCCATTCTAATCTGGTATTCTATGATTCTATGAAATGAAATTGTTCATATTAGAAGAATTTACATTTACAGATCAAAAGAAAGAAAACAGAAGCTTTTCTTGCTTTTGTTTACTGGAGAACCAATTCTGTACTTTATCATTGCACAAACACGAGTCTGTGAGGAAACTCAAAATTCCTTAGGAAATGAATACGAGGTCTCTTATGGCTGGTAACAAAACTGCCTCGTCTGGGTCTCTTATGGCTGGTAACAAAACTGCCTCGTCTGTCTTTGGTCACAAGAGGGTGCTGCTGGAACTCTTTGAGGGTCCATAGGCTAAACCAGCTTCTTTAACTTCTGTGGGCTGGTTGTGGCTGGGGGGGGGT